CCCACTTCCCAGCTATTTCCACATGGTTTCTGAATGGGTGTTGGGGATTCAAACTCAGTTCCTCAAGCTTGCACAGTGGCACTTTACCTACCGAGCCATCTCTCTAGCCCCCTGCAAATTGTGACCGCAATAGCCACCCTAACAGGTAGAAGGTGATGTCTTCTTGTAGGTTTCGATTTGCATTTTATCAATGGTTTCTTGAGTTGAATATAATCTTACATGCTTTATTGCCTCCGCAGATCTTCTCTTAAGAAACTGAGATTGGGGGCTGGAAAGACGATTCAGCACTGGCTGTTCTTGCAGAGGACCCAGGTTCAGTTCCCAGCAGCTCCTTAACTGTAGTTCCAGGGATTCGACACTTTTCTGGTCTCTTGTGAGGGGGACTCTCAGTGTGTGTCTTACTGAAGGGGATCCCCAGGGTATGTCTTACTGAGTCTGGTTTATCTTGCTAACTGGTTTGTGTCCAACTGTCATTCCTATTTATGGTTGAGTAATATTCCACAAACTATATTCTGTTTGCCTGTTTGGTGACCTTTGCTCTTTCATTATCGTAAATCACGTTACTACACACTTGGGTGACAGAAGGGGAAATTTCTAGATTTCACTGGTTGGTATCATCTTGTATGGACTGTGGAGATTCCCCCCGGAAGCTCTGGTTATATTAATACCTCAATGCTAGCTCAAACTTTGAAAGTCAGAGCCCTTTTTTTTACCACTACAGTATTTTCCGCTGAGATAATTTTTATTTTACTTTTTAAAAAGTTAGTGTTTATAATTTAACCTAATAGGAACATGGACTAAAAAATACATAGTTCCCCTGCAACCCACATAATAGTTTCCTGCTATGAATATATGTTGTAGTCTAAATGAATATGTTCCTAGAATTCACATACTGGAAGCTGATATTCATCTGGGTGGTATTAAGTGAAGGGTCTACAGAGGCAGCTCAGTGGGTAAAGTTCTTGTAGCACAAGCAGGAGCACCTGCATTCAGATCCCTAGCACCCATGTAAAAGCCGGGTGTGATGGCGCATGTCTGTAACCACAGCACTGGGGAGGTGGAGCCAGGTGGATCATCGATCAATCAGTCTAGCTAAATCAGTGAGCTTCTGGTTCAGGGAGAGACCTGGCCTCAAATAGTAGAGCTAGGTGTGGTGCCTTTAATCCCAGCACTTGGGAGGCAGAGGCAAGTAGATCTCTGTGAGATCGAGGACAGCTTGGTCTAAACAGCAAGTTCAAGGCCAGCTGGGGTTATACAAGTCCCTGTCTCAAAAAAAGAAACTCCCAAAATAAATAAAAGTTAAAGTGGAAAGTGACTTCATACTGACTTTTGGTCTTTACTCGTATGTACACATACATACAAAAGTAACCACACACTTTACACTGGGACAGTAGGAGGGACCTCAAGGGCATCTCAGAACTCATCAGACTCCACCCATCCCAGGAATGCCTAGGACACTGCTAGGACACTCAGGACCATGCAAATTGTGCCATGGTCCATCAGGTCCCAGCCAATGCTCAATCCAGCCTCACACCCTGACTTCATCTAAACAATGCAGTTTTATAGACACGCAGAATGCAAGAGTCACAGGCTCCTGGAGGCATGCACCCAGATTTCAAGGACAGCCCGAGAAGCCAGGCAATGGGTGTCAGTCAAGGTTGGGACCCCTTAGGTAATGCTCAAAAGCGTCCTGCATGAAACTTTGAGAGAAAAACCAAAGATACAATGGAGAGCCTGGAACATTGGGGATACCAGGCAGGTAGAGTGTTTGCTGAAGGAAACTGTGGACTCTGAGAGGGGCTGATCCAAGAGAGAGGCTATGGGGGCTGTGAACGCAAATGCCATGGAGTCACGTCAGGATACCATGTACCTGAGATTCGGGACATGGAGACACAGGATGTGTCTGCCTGACTTGGTTTTGGGCTTGTTTTAGCCTACCTTGCTCTTCCGTTCATTCTCCTTTAGAATCGGGAATATTTATTGCCTACCAGTCTGACACAGAAATAGGTAACTTGTTCTAAAAAAATATATTTATTTATTTTTACTTTATGTATATGAGTATTTTGCCTGCATGTAAGTGCACCGTTTGTGCAGTGTCTGAGGAGGCCAGAAGAGAGTGTCAGATTCCCCAGAACTGGAGTTACAGATGGCAGTCAGCCACCATGTGGGTGCTGGGAATTTGCAAGAATAGCCAGTGCTCTTAACCTGTGAGCCAGCTCTCCAGTCCTCAGCGCTGAGAGGTTTTATACTGAGCACTTTGAACATCTAGGAGTCTCTGCATTAACCACTGTCAATTGTAAAAAGGAACTTCTCTGACCACGGTTGAGTGGATCAGAGGTCTATGGGTATGTGCTGGATAGCTTTAGTTGTCGTCCTGACACACCTGGGTTGAGGGAGCCTTAACTGAGGATTTTTCTCCATTAGACTGGCTTGTAGCCATGTCTGTGGGGCATTTTCTTGATTGTTGAATGATGTGGGAGGGCCCAGTCCACTGTGGGCAGTGCCACTCCTGGCAGGTGGTCCTGTGCTGTGTAAGAAAGCAAGCTAGTAGTAGGCAGTTATCCTTCATGGTCTGTGCTCTAGGTTCCTGCCCTGAGTTCCTGCCTAGGCTTCCCTTGATGATGGACTGTGCTTGTTAGCCAAATAAACCCTTTCCTTTCCAAGTTGGTATTGGTCAGTGTTTTGTCACAGCAACTGAAAAGAAATTAGAACAGAAATTGGTACCAGAGAGTGGGCTATTGCTGTGACAGACCTCACTCAGTTGTTTTTGGGAGGATTGTGGCTGCATTTGTAACTTTGGGTTGGAAAAGTGATAGAATATTTAGAGTTTAGTGAGCTATTGCTATGGAACTTGGAACAGTTCTGCTGAAAGAGGTGTAGATGATGGAGGTCTGGCTTGTTAACCTTCAAGGGAAGCAAAGACTATCTGCGCTGCTTGATACTTTGAATTGAGAATCTGTGGTTTCTGGTTGGCTGGGGCTGAAGAATCAGCTGTGATTAAGAAGAGACCAGAATCACTGAAGTAAAACCTTTGCTTTACTGGGACAATTGACGTGGGTCAGCTGGGGCTGAAAAATCAGCTGTGAGTAATAAGAGATCAGCACCAGTGAGGCGAAATCTTCTATTTCCACAGGGCCGGGGCACAGAAGCTGTGGTCCAGAGGGGGCCCAAGGCTCCATCTCAAGCTGGAAGCAGGACTCGGTAACTATAAGAGTCTCCTACATAGTACTGGTTTTGAAAGCATGAACGAGTTCTGGAGAGCAGCTGAGGCTTGGTACCCCGAGAGGCCAAGAAAGGCCATTGGTGAAAGGGCAGCCTCAGTTGCAGTGAAGGCCCCAGGATCGAAGGGGTCATGGAGAGAATCTGAAGCTTTGCACTCTGAGAGGCCAGAAGAGCCCATTTGTGAAGGTGTAGCCTCACAAATCTCTCTCTTAGAGATCCCAGCATACTAGAGATGCTAAGACCATGGGGAGACCACCAAGGGCAGCATCAGGTGTGGAATGGAGCCAGCCTGGGCCCATGAGACAAGCTGTGTGTGCTGCGGACGACAGAGCTAAAGTGAAGCTACCCAAGCCCTTTGGAGTCCAGAAGATCATGAATGAATCCCAAATGTCCAGCCTGGAGCTACTTTCCTGGACTTTGGTTTTGCTTCCCTTTTGAAATAATACAGTACTTGTTTTGATTTTATAGGAGGAGCCCATAGTTAAGAAATTTTCAAGAGAGACTTTTAACTTTTAAGGTGTTTGAATTTTTTAAGGACTATGGGACTTTTAAGGTTGTACTGTCTGATATTGTAATATTAACATCATATCTTGGAGCTAAGAAATGGAAAAGTTGATACTGGATGTGGTGGTGTGCACCTTTTATCCCAGCCCTTGGGAGGGAGAGGCAGGTTCATATCTGCAAGATTGAGGCCACCCTGGTTCTCATCGTGACTTCCAGGTGGGCTGTGACTAGGGAGACCCTGTCAAAAAATCGGCAACAACAAAAAAAAGACCAAAGAAGAAATAGAAAGGTTGTGGTTTAATAGTGATGTTTGAGTGTCAACTTGACAAGGGGTCAGTTGTGCTGGATGGTTTTAGTTGTCAACTTGACACACCTGGGTAGAGGAAATCTAAAAGGAGGAATTTCCTTAGTTGGACTGGCCTGTGGCCATGTCTGTAGGGCATTTTCTTGATTGTTGTGTGATGTGGGCATTCGCTGTGGGTGGTGCCACCCCTGGGCATGTGGTCCTGTGTTGTCTAAGAAAGGAGGCTGAGTACAGGCCTGGAGAACAGGCAGTAAGCAGCATTCCTCCATGGTCTGTGCTCCAGGTTCCAGGCCTGAGTTCCTGCCTTGGCGTCCCTTCATGATGGACTGTGCTTGTAAGCCAAATAAACCCTTTCCTCCCCAAGTTGGTTTTGGTTGGTGTTTTTATCACAGCAGTAGAAAGCTAACTAGATGGTATAAACAGTAAGTATTCACAAGAAAGTTTGTCTCGTGAGGGTTAGCAAAGCAGCAAGGGCTCTGCACCTCGGGACACGACAGCAGCACTCATGGGGCTTTCGATTATTTGTTATTTATTTAGAGACAGGGTCTCCCTGTAGCCCCAGCTGGCCTGGAACTCACTATGTAGACCAGGCTGCCCTTGATGTCACAGAAATCCTCCTGCTTCTGCCTTCTGAGTGCTGGGATCAAAACTTTGTGCCACCACGCCCACCGAGTCTTCTTTCTCTCCTTTTCAAATGTGGCCACTAGTCGGATGTTCATGCCTTTGTGGATAGTACCATGTTCATGTACATACAGACAGCACTAAGTATTCTGGGAAGTTATTAATAACAAAATATAAAAATAGGTGATGAAGCCAGGAGGGGGAAGATGGGGTGGAGCACACTAGGGGGAGCTGCAGCGAGGTAGTAGTTGATGAATATACGTTATATAAATATATAGGACTTTCAAAGAAAAAATATAAAAAAAGAAAGCAACTGAAAAAAGTCTAACAAATCAGCCAAGAGCTGTGCTCAGGGATGTACCCACTGAATGCCAAAGAAAGTCTCATCTGTGTTGGGGGAAGGCAGCAGAGGCAGGGTGAGGTTGGTGCAAAGGACATCCCCGTGGGCCAGAGGTGTCAGTCGCTGGGACGAGACGGTGCAGCCTTGGCCAAAGTGCAGACGCAGCAGACTGATGCTTCGGGTGACAGGTGAGCAGATGCCCACAGCCAGGGTGGCCTTTCGGGGTGTGCTGCTATACATGGGTGAGCAGTTAGCCAGTGTCACTTGGATATGCAACCTGTAGATGCCACCACGGTGCACACGCAGCTGCCCCTGGTCCAGCTCTGGTCCGTGGGAAAAGGAGCGGCCTAAGGCTGGGCCAGCATCCCAAAGCAGCATGGGTTCCTTCCGGGGACCTGGGAGCAGAGGGTGAAGGAACAGGGGAAGAGGTTAGAGAGAGTGAGGTGGTCAGACAGACAGTGGGATGTAGGCCTAGGGAGTCAGATAAAGGGAGAGAGTGTGAGGTACTTAAAGGAATGGAGGAGAAAAGGAAGAGAGGAGGGAGGTGGGCACATGCACACTGGTAGGAAGAGAGGGAGAGAGAGAAATGAGACTAGAGGTGGGCAGAGAATAAGAGATGCAGAGAAAGAGAGAGAGCTGGGGGGAGATGGAGAGAGACAAATGGAGAGATAGAGATAAGGAGAGATGGAAAGAGAGATGAAGAGAGATGGAGAGGGATAAGGAGAGATGGAGAGAGACAGACAGAGGCAGAACTGCAGATAGACGGTGGTATAGTATATGGGGAGACAGATGAACAAACGGGAGAGAGAGAAAGTTCCGGGAGTTGCCTCTCCTGCCTTTTGCTCCTCCATCCGCATTATTAGCTGCCTCCTCTGTGTCTCACTTGAGCCCTACTCCCTTCTGCCAAGGAACCACGTGGACCCAAGTCAGAGGAGAGTCAGAGGGGTATGGCCCAGCTTCTGGAGATGCTTGGGAGAGGGACACATGATTATGGTTTGGACACTGGCCTTAGATCAGCTGGGATGAAGAAGGAAGTCAGGGAGAGTTAACCTTATGAACATCTTTGTAATGGTTAACTTGGCAGGGTCTAGAGGCACCACGGAAACAGACCTCTGAGCATATCCACGAGGGATCATCCACATTAGTTTAACTGAGGTGAAAACTCGCCCTGGACTGGGGTCCTGGACTGAATAAAAAGGAAAAAGTGCTGGCTGGAGAGAGATGGCTCAGCAGTCAAGAACACTGGTTGTTGTTGCAGAAGACCCGGGTTCGAATCCCAGCGCCCACATGGTAGCTGACGACTGTCCCTAACTCCAGTTCCAAGGGATCCGAAGGCCTCCTCTGTCCTCAGCGGGCATTGCACTACACCGGTGCACTTATCTACATGTAGGCGATACATGCTACACATAAAAATAATGGGGCTGGAGAGATAGCTCAGTGGTTAAGAACACCGACTGTTCTTGCAGAAGACTCGGGTTTGTATCCCAGCACCCACATGGCAGCTAACAGCTGTCCATAACTCCAGTTCCAGGGAATCCGGCAGCCTCTTCTGACCTCCGCGGGCATTGCACGGCATAGGTGCACTTACTGACATGGAGGCATAACACTCGTACACATAAAATAAAATAAATAAAATATTTTTTAAAAAAAGGAAAAAGTGAGCTGAGCACCAACATTCATCTCTCTGCTTCCCGACTACAGATGCAATGTGACCAGTCGTCTCACGGTGGACTGTGGGCTTGAACCCTGAGCCGGAATAAACCTCCATCCTCTAAGATGCTGTGTGGCAGCAGTGAGAAAAGGAGTGGAGAACATTGACCTAAACATCTTATTTCATGTTAGAGCAGCTCAAGTCACTCTCCAGAGGGGACCTCAAGACCCAGATATAGGGGACAGTCACTTTAATTTTTTTTTTTTTTACTTTTAGAGACAGGGTCTCCCTGTAGCCCCAGCTGTCCTGGAACTCACTATGCAGACCAGGCTGGCCTCGAACTCACAAAGATCTGCCTGCCTCTGCCTCCCAAGTGCTGGGATTAAAGGCGTGTGCCACCACGCCCGGCTCACGTTAATTAATTTTGAGACAGAGTCTCATTACACAGCCCCAAATGGCCTTCACTTGAAATGGCAATTCACAGCCTGAATGCCACTTTACCCCCTGAGCCATGTCCAGTCCCTCAGTGGGGACTCTAGGCTGTCATTCTACCCTGAGCCACACCCCAGCTCCTCACTGCCTTTTTCACTGTGATACAGCCTGCCCACTGCAGATGGTAGATCAAGTGGGTGGAGGAATGAAGGGATGTGAGTGGCTGCATCGCTGTGGTTGCTCGCCTTGTTTTTGGGTTCTGTAAGCTAAGAGCCTGTGAGGAACCGAGAGAGTGAAGGAGGTGGTGTGTTCCAGGAATCATGCATCACCCCATCTTACTTTTGTACTCTCAATCTTCTTTCCCTCCCTCCTCTTTCTCTTCCTCTCTTTCTTTTGAGACAAGGTCTCATGTAGCTCAGGCTGGACTGTAACTTATTATATAGGCAAGGATAACTTTGAACTCCTGATTCTCCTCCCTCCACCTCTGGAGTGCTGAACTGACAGGGGTGCCCCACCACGCCACATTTAAGTGGTACTGGACATAGGGCTTTGTGACTGCTAGGCAAGCTCTGCCCACTGAGCTGTGTCCCAGCCCGCTCTTCTTTCCCTCCCTCCCTCCCTCCCTCCCTCTCTCCCTTTTTTCCTTCTTTCTTTCCCTTATTTTTCTTCTTTTGTCATCATTATTACTATTATTATTATTACTATTATTAGTTTGTCTTTTTGAAATAGGGTTTCCCTGTAGCCCCAGTTGGCCTCGAACTTGCTATGTAAACCAAGTTGGCCTCAGTTTCTCGGAGATCCACCTGCCTCTGCCTCCAGAGTACTGGGATTAAAGGCGTGTGCCACTACACCCACCTTATATACACTTTGTTTTCCCCCTCTCTCTCTCTCTCTCTCTCTCTCTCTCTCTCTCTCTCTCTCTCACACACACACACACACACACACACACACACACCTTCCCTTCCCAGCCTTACCTGTGTGATTGAACTGCAACTCAGCCACCTCCCACTGGAAGAAAATACCAGAAAACAGAGAGAGAACATCAGCCACGCTTCCGGCACCCCGGCACAGATGCTTTCTTTCCTTCCATCCCTCATTACACTGGCCTTACTTGTGCTTTTTTTTTTTTTTTTTTTTCCCTTTATTTTCTCTGTTATCACCTCTTACAGAAGAAAATTGGTGCTGCCAGCAGGCTGCACACACAGAAAATAAAATCTTGAAAAGAATTAGCTTACTTTCTTGGAACTTGGGGAGCTAGCATACCTGGAGGCGCCGCGCACCCACTCCGGTTCCCATCACTTTTCCAAACACACAGGTGGGCTGTCGCTGGCCCTTCAGCCTCTGGAGCCCCAGGAACCCCCCACTGCCAGCTTTGTGAAGCCCCCTAGCAGCCTGCGGCAGTCCCGGGATGGGGGAACACCAGGGGACGTGTCATCCCCACCCTCAGGGCTGCATCTTTCCCAGCCCGGGATCTCCCGTTGGCTCCGGGGTAGCCGGGTTCCCCCGGCCCCTCCTGCACTCCAGCTTTTCTGTCCTTTCTCTACCACGTCTTCCTCTTCTTAATCCATCTTATTCAAACTTTGTCTTTTTCGTCCTTTGCCTGCCCTATCGCACCATCTCTGTTCCTGTCTCCCGGGTTCCCTAGCCCTTGTCCCTGGTCGTGTCTCCCGCCCCCACCCCACTTGCAGAGTCAGGTGCGCTCCTGACGCCCACCCTTCCTCCCCTTCCTCTACTCACCCCAGGGAGCTCCAGCCGCTTCTGTTGCTGATGCTGCAGGAAGATCTGGCGGCAGACGAAGCAGCAAAGCGCTCCAGCGGTGACAAGCAGCAAGCCATAGCGCAGGACGCCCATCCAGTTTAGGCGTGGCAGCGCCCAGGGGCAGCCGGGACCCTCCTCGGCCATCCCCACCTGCGGCAGGCGCTGCATCCTCTGATGACGGCAGCCAGAAGGTACCAGGAAACTGCCCTAACTTCATCCGAGCTTTTCAAGCTTCTGCCTGCCTTGGCCTGCCCGGAGATCACTGGGGATGTCCGACCCAGGGGAAAGAACTGGGCCTCTTCACACCAAGCAGGGAAATCCCCTGCAGCTTGTACCACCTTGCAGAGAGGCCCGCCCCGCCCTGTCCCTCAGGCACAGAACGTCTCATCTTCGGCTCTCTGCTTCTTGCTGCTTCTGCCTTGTGCTCCTTTAGTCCTTCAACAAACCTTCATTGACCGTCTATAGAGACTGAGCAACTATGCTTGGTATGGGGAGAACTACAGGCATGCTGAGATTGTGCAGTGCTCCCCAGATATCCCGGGATGGACCTGCCCACCGAGGGCATGACAGTTGGGATAATCTGTGGTCACTTCCATGCCCCCATTGCAACTAGTTCTCAGGGGGATACCTGTTCTATTTTTTGTTTGTTTGTTTTTTTGTTTGAGACAGGGACTCCCTGTAGTCCCAACTGGCCTAGAACTTGCTGTGTAGACCAGGCTGGCCTCCATCTCACAGAGATCCACCTGCCTCTGCCTCCTGAGTGCTGGGATTAAAGACATGTGCCACCACACCTGGTTTTGTTTGTTTTGAGACAGGGTCTTGCCATATAGCCTAAACTGGCCTGAAACTCCCCATGTAGCCCCAGGGTGGCCTGGAACTCACTGTGTAGCCCAGGATGGTATGAAACTTGCCATGTAGCAAAGGCTGGCCTGGAAGTCATTATGTAGCCCAGAATGACCTGGATCTCCTTGTGTAGCCCAGGCTGGTGTAAAACTTGCCAGGGCCCAGATGGCCTTGAACTTCCCACGTTGTCCAGGCTGGCCTCATACTCTGATCCTCCTGCCTCAACCTCACCAATACCAAGATTATAGGTGTGTCTTTATCTTGATGGCTAGAGAGTTGAATACTCTGCTTCTACCAAATTTCTGTGCTCCAGAGGCTGAGAAGGTAGCCTTATTTGAAGTCAACGTAGTGGTTGCTATTTATAAAAGACCTGCACAAGGTAGGGCCCATCAAGGCATGGTGGTGCAGGCCTTAATCCTAGCATTTGGAAAGCAGAGGCAGGTGGATCTCTGTGAGTTCCATGGAGGCCAGCCTGGTCTATATACCCTGTCTCAAAAAATAAAAACACCAGACATGGTGGTGCACATCTTTAATCCCATCACTTAGGAGATGGGCAAGCAGATCTCTGTGAGATGGACGTCAGCCGGGTGTACATAGTTCCAGACCAGCTGGGGCTACAAGAAGACCTTGGGAAGGAAGGAAGAAAGGAAGGAAGGAAGGGAGGAAGGAAAGTAAGAAGGAAGGAAGGAATGTAGGCTCTATGTGTTTAGGGCTGCCTGCACTTTCTTCTAGCCCCACTTGCAGCAGGAGTTTCCCTTCTTGTATTTCCCCAAAAAGATTTCAGAGGGGACACAGCAGTTCAGCAGTCAACAGTTTAATTAGAGCTAGTGAGGACTCAAGAATACTCTTTGGAAGGAAAGGAGGGTGAGCTGGGGGGCAGCAACCTTGTCCAGGGCAGGCATGGGCCATTCATCTTCCCTCTCTCTGGTCCCACTCCTCTGTGCTTCTCCAGGGTGGGCAGAGCCAAGAAGAGGTATGTGGTGGTTTGGATTAGGAATGACCTCCATAGGCTCACCTATTTGAACGCTTGGCCCCAGTTGGTGGTTCTGTTTTCAGAGGTTTTAGGAGCTATGGCCTTGCTGGAGGAAGCGTCACAGGTTTGGAGAGTTCACTGCCTTGTTCCCACTTCCAGTTTCTCTCTCCACTTCCTGTGCCTACTTGAAGATGTGAGCGCTCAGCTTCCCGCTCAGGCTGACTCCTGCCATGCCTCCCCAGCCATGATGGTCTCTTATCCCTCTGAAATCGTTAGCCAAATAAATTATTTTGGGGCTGACAGCCAGCTCAGTGGTTAAGAGCACTGGTTCCTCTTGCAGAGGACCTGAGTTCAGTTCCCAGCACCCACACAGCCGCTAACAAGCACCTGTAATTCCAGTTCCAGGGGATCCAACGCCCCCTTTTGGCTTCCATGGGTATTGCACACATGCACACATATGTACATGCATAAATAAGTGCATTTATAAATAAAATAAATCTTAAAAAAAAGATGTAGTGGGCTGGGGTGATGGCTCAGTGGGTAAGGTGCTTGCCACGTACCATGAGGACCTGAGTTTAATCCCCAGCACCCACATAGAAGCCAGGTATGGCAGTGCCTGTCTGTAAGCCCAGCTTTGGGGAGGCAGAGATAGGGGGATTCCTGCAGGCAGCTCACTGCCAGTCGGTTTAGATGAAATGGTGAATTTGAGGTTCAGTGAGAGACCCAGTCTCAGAAATTAAGGTGGAGAGTAATATTTTTTTTTATTTATTATTTTTATCTTACATGTATGAGTGTATTGTCTGCATGTATGAGAGCGCACCTGTGTTGTGCAATGCCACAGAGGTCAGAAGGGGGCTTCGGATTCCCCTGGAACTGGAGTTAAGGACGGTTTGTAGCCACCATGTGGGTGCTGGGAATTGAACCCTGGTCCTCTCCAAGAGCAGTCAGTGCTCTTAACTGCTGAGCCAGCTCTCCAGCCCCAGGTGGAGAGTAATAAAGGAAAACACTAAGGATGACCTGACCTCTGATGCCTCAAAAGACAACTGTAACCTCACCATTCAGTACAGACCACATGTAACAAAGGACTGTGGCATTTTCAGATTCTATAATTAGAAAAAAAATTTTTTTTGAGACACTATCTCCTTGTAGCCCCAGCTGACCTGGAATTAATTATGTAGACCAGGCTGGCCTTAATCTCACAGAGGTCCACCTGCCTTTGCCTCTCAAGTGCTGGGATTAAAGGTGTGTGCCTCCATGCTAGCTCTTAGAACTAGAAAATTTTATTTGAAGGTGAGGGATGAGACAAACCTGGTAGTGAATCTGTCATCTAGCACTGTAGATATTGACATGGCAGGATCAAGAGTTCATGGTCAGCCTAGGCAACTTATCCAGACCCTGTCTGAAAATGTAGAGGGAGGGGTTGGTGCCTGGCTCAGAGTAGGACGCCTGCCGGGAATCCCCCAGTTAGGGGCTGAGGGTGAGTGAGGCTCAGGGTAGAGTGACAACCTAGAATCCCCAGTGAGGGGCTGGGGGCGTGGCTCAGGGGTGGAGTGACAGCCTAGAATCCCAGTGAGGGGCTGGGGGCGTGGCTCAAGGGTAGAGTGACAGCTTGGAATCCCCCAGAGAGGGCTGGGGCGTGGCTCTGAGTCAGCTTCTCTGGGATCACGGGTGGGGAGCTGGCTCGGTAGCTCACCGTGCCTGCTTTCCTAGTTCTTGCAAGCCCCTGGGTTCCATCCTCATCTTGGGCTGAAGCCTAATGAAGTGAGCCAAAAGAAAACTTCATCTCAGAAATCTCTCTCCCGTGGCAGAGAATTCGCAGTACTACTCGCTTACTTTTTAGTGCTGTTGGGTGAGATCAGGACTTCCCCACCTGCAGGCGGGGCAGCCGAGATGGCTGGGGAGATTTCCTCCGCCTCTTCCTGCAGAGCTGGAGCCAGGGGCCCTGGCCAGTGGAAAGGATTGAGTGGATTGGCTCTCGGGATAAAAGGGGCGGGCTGGGGGCACAGGGGGTCTGATCTGAAGCCGCCGGACCTCCAACTCAGCCTCAGCTGCAAAAGGCTTGTCTTCAGGACTCTGGGAAACTTCTGCCTCCCATCATGCACCTGAACCCGGAGCGCAATTTTGAAACTGCAGATCCAGGTTCCTCTTAGAGGCAGCCTTTCCCTCACTTTTCCCTTTAACGGGTGACTTCATTGGGCTGCTCGCTGCACGGAGGCATACGCCGACCCTCATCCTTACACACGCACAGTACACTTGTACCCCACACATGTACTTCACAATACACCCCCCACATACACACTTCCACACGCACCCCCACATGCATGCCCCCACATGCACCCCATTATGCACCCTAAGCATGCATCGTACACATACACACCATTATGAATGCCACATATGCACCTCACACCTGCACATCCCCACATGCACCCCATTATGCACCCCACACATGCATGCCTCCATCTCACCCCCACACCTGGACACATACACACCTGTACATTCACCCCCACCATGCACACCCCTACACGCACCCCACACATGTACACATGTAATCAGGTACACATAAAGAAAAAAAGAAAAAAATCCACTCCTTATTTTCCACTCTGTAACATGCATAAAAATGTGTAAAAAGTAGCCAGGCATGGTGGCACATGGCTTTAATCTCAGCACTCAGGAAGCAGAGACAGGCAGATCTCTGTGAGTTCAAGGCCAGCCTGGTCTACATAGTGAGTTCCAGGACAGCTACAGGGAGACCCTGTTTCAAAAAGACCAAAAAAAAAAAAAAAAAAAAAAAAAAAGCACGCTGACCTTTGCTGGGGTTGTAATAGAATTTCAGAGGTTGCGTGGCTTAATCTTCTCAGAGTTCTGTAGCCCCGACGGTGGGATCCAGGTCTCTGGAGGGTTTGTAAAGACTGTGTTCTCATAGTCTTATTCCGGTGTCTTCACCTGGTCTTTTTTCCTGTAACTTTCCTGACAGCCTTTCTTCCTCTTCTTCTTTTATTTTAAAAAATTGGGGGGAGTTGGTGAGATGACTCACGGGGTAAGAACAGTGGCTTCTTTTGCAGAGGACCTAGGTCCAGTTCCCAGCACCCACATGGAGGCTAACAACTGTCCATAACTCCAGTTTCAGTGCATCAAATGCCCTCTTCTGGACTATGTAGGCGTTGCACACATGTGGTGTACTTACATGTGGGCAAAACATGCATACACATTAAATAAATAAATAAATTTAATTTTTTATTAGCATTGCTTCCTTTAAAAAATAACACGAAGAGATGGCTCAGCGGTTAAGAACACTGGTTGTTCTTGCAGAGGACCAGGGTTCGAATCCCAGCACCCACATGGCAGCTAACAA